GGTCCGCCCAGCGCCCCGAAGCCCGCCGCTGCCGACGCCGACACGATCCTGGAGAGCATCCACCACGAGTTCACTCGCACCAACTTCCACCTCTTCGTCCAGACCTAGGAGCCGCCCCCTGCTGCCTGGCCCCTCTGTTGTGAAAGGGGAGAAGGGAGCTCCTTAGAAACCTGGCCTTCCACGGCTCGCACGGCTACACCCTGGGCGGCACCCTGCGATCATTGTGTGTGTGGCTTGTCTCATCCGCCTCATCTCCCTGTGCCTCTCACCCAGTCTCAATCAACGGATCTATCTGCCTCCCTAACCTCTCTGTAGGTCTATCTGTGTGCCCCTCCACCTTTGTCTCTCTGGCTCTCCGCTTGTGTTTTACACAATGTCACACACTCCAAGAAGCCCAACCTGGGGTATTGGTCCTCCAGGCACCGACTTGAAGACAAACCACATAGCTTTGAAAGCCCGGGCAGACAATGAGGCCTGAGGCATGGCCGGCACACCCTTGAGTACCGCCAAGTCCTACCCAGCCCTGGGTCTCACCTGGAACGCTGGACTCTGCTGGCCCCCTGCCCTGGCACGGGGCTGGAACACCTTAGAGTTAGCCTAGCAGCCTGGCCCGAGCTTGCTCTCTGCTGCACAGCCTTGGTGGCTGCAGAGGTGCCTGGGACAGCATCAGGTTTTGCCATCTTAACTGTCCCCAGTAGGGCCAGAAAGATGTAGTCCTGAGGATCAGGGAATTCTCTGCTGTGCTAGAATCTGCTGTTGTGTAACCCTCTGTCTGATGGAGCCAACAGCCTGCCTTTCTGAGCCTCTCTAGAGGAGTAACTGGCATCCCTGAGCCCCTGTCCTTGCCCCAGAAGCCACCTGTCAACTCTGGTAACTAGTTATCTTACTGGGGTTTCCTGTCACAAGCAATGATGCACCCTAAACTCAGAGACTGATATAGGAGCTCTTCGGAACAAAGCTTTCCTAGGACAACCGTGGCAGAAGCCTTGGGCTAACTGGGCAATAATGCATCTGGAAGAGGGGTTCCTCTTCTCGGTGCCACAGACCGAATCACGGCCCATCCCTGATCAGCCTGCCTACCCTGAGCCTACTCTGTGCTCTCCAGGGAAGAAGACAAAAATAAATAAACATCAGACAGGCCCCTTGCCTGGTCTATGGGAACCAAGGATGCAGATATCATGGGTTCCAGCTACTGTACCAGCCCCTGGTGGTGGCTCCTGATGGGGGAAACTGGTCTGAAATGGGGGCTTAGGGTCCAATCCTCTGAGCCTTTCCTTGGCCTTTTGAGGGAGAGAGCTCACTTCCTGTAAAATGCCTTCCCCAGAATGTGGAAAGTCCCATAAGAATCCAGAAGCAGGAAAAAAAAAAAAAAAACAGCTCACATTTCCCAGCAGGATTTGCTCCCCAGACTTGGCAGTCTGACCTCACAATGACCAGCAGGGGAGAAGTTTGCTCAAAGCCCACATGGCCCCTGGTGAATCCTGGCTGAGGAATGGCAGGAACGTACCGAATGGGAAGTCCCCAGAATGAGTGCTGCTTCAGGAGGGTCTGTGTCACTGTCCCACGGTGGTGTTGAAGGTGATGGAAGCTAAGAGGAGTTGCACAGCACACCTCGCGGGGAGCTGGGCTCAAGGGCCATGCGGCTCGGTCTTTCACACTGCCTGCAGGGGCCCCTATAACCCTCAGTCCCACCGAGCTGCCCAGTTGGAAGACTGTGACTTCCAAGCTCCAGCCCTACCCTGTCTCCTGAGTTCTGGCTGCCGACTCTTCCCTGGATATCCTCCTTGGTCCTGATCCTGCTCAGCTAACATCAAGAATCCCTTCCCTTTCTGCCCACAAAAGATGTTCCGGACCTTCTATCTCCCCCACAAGATGCTGTCACCAAGGCCCAGAGACTCTACTTCTCCTTCTGCATTTAAATATGCTTCTTCCTCTCTCTTCACTGCTGTGCGGCCTCCAGCCTCACCTCAGCTGCCAACTCCTCCAACTGGCACCAGTCTTCTATCTTGTATTCCATCACGTGGGCGCCTGCCTTGGATCAAGGGGCTTTGTGCACACGTCCATTATCCCCTATAAGCTGTCATCTTCAAGGGGAAAGGAGCATTTATCTCTCTGTGTCCTGAAGAACATATCACAGTGTCTTGTACATTGAGTTGGTGCTCATTAAAGACTAACAAATTGTATCGCAGCTGAATCGGCCAGCAATTGGGATAGTGCAAATCCAAAGTACAACCACCAGGTGGCACTGTCCCTTACTCAAGCATTACGTTCCTTTTTTTTTTTTTAAGACGTCGATGGGGTCCTTAAATATCTGAATTTTTTCATGTTCTTGGAATTCTTTGGGGTTTTATACACACAATTTTGAATACTGTACTTCCAAGGAATTTCTAAACACTTTAAAACCTGTTTGTGTATTAATCTACTCGTTTTCATATTAGAATCAGCTACCAAGTTGTAAAAACGAATTAACCAAACCACACCACAAATCTATTGGATTGAAATCTCTGAGCGGGGAGCCTAAGCATCTGTATTGTTGAAAAACTCTTCAGTGTGATCCCTGGGAGTATCTAGGTTTCAGAATCCTTGCTCTAGTTCACATTTCCTTTTTATTTTATTTTTAAATTTTATTTTTTTGGAGAAAAGGTCTCACTATGTATGGTTGGCCTTGAACTCACTATGTATGTAGCCCAGGCTGGCCTCAAACTCACAGCAATACTCCTGCCTCAGCCTCTCTAGTGCTGGGATCACAGGTATGCACCACCCCATCCAGCCTTTTTGATATTTGGGGACACTGAGGCTCCAAGAGAGGAGGTTGGGGTCACAGCAGGTTGTAGGCAGAGCCTGACCTTGATGTGAATTCTGCACTCCTGAAAGAGTAAGACCAAAATCTCTTCCCAAATCTTCCTTACCATCTTGGGCCACCGGAGTGCACTGGTGACAAACTGGTATCCTGGCTTAAGTAATGACCTTGGGGATTCTAGTTTTCTTTTGTTTATATCAAATTAGGTTTTCTGCAAAGAGAAACCAGTAATAACTGAGGTGCGGGAAAAGTCTCTCAGACACCTTCCTCCCTGGGGAGGATGCAGACTCCTGAGGACATGGACCATGAAGGTGACAAGAGAGAGAGGAGGTGGCTTTAAGGGAAGTGAACCCAGTAAGACATTGAGAAGGCTTTGTTGAGGGCTGGCCCTGAGTACTCACGCAGACACATACAAAAGGCCCGTAGCCAGGCTTGGCTGGGCTCCAAGTTCCAAGGGACAAAGGCGGGGCCCTAGTGGTACAATAATACTTTCAGTGGGTAAAGCGGAAAACACCTGCCTGTGCTGGCTGTTTGCTATGGCACAGGGCGGGTGGGGGTGCAAGCACAGTTCTGGGGAGAGCCTTGTGACCAGGTCCTTAGGCACTCACCCTGGTTGAAAGGTCTTGGGGTGGGGTCCATCCCACTGAACTCATCCTCAAGCACTGTCTGATCTAAAACATGCTTTGGTCCAACCCTGGCACCTCGCCCTGCATAGGAGAATCATATTCTTGGTCTTGGTCTGTCCTGGCCTACATATACTACATTCATTTATGCATTTATACTGGGGATTGAACCCAGGGGCTTCACATTGAGCTACATCCACAGTATCCACAGCTCTTTTTTTTTTTTTTTGAAACATAGTGTCACTGAGTCACTAAACTGCTCGGCTTGAATTTGGGATCCTCCTGCCTCAGCCTCCCAGAGTGCATCACCACATCCAGCCCATTTATATATATTTACATTATGTACTCTTCTTGCACTCTTAACCGGTATGTTATTTTCAGAGGAGCCTTCTTAAAGTGAAGGAATGCAACTTTAATGGTGGCATTTTTAGACAACAGCCATTGTGGAGTCCAAGCCGTGTGTGCTAGCTGGGCAAACTCAAGTCACTTAACCTCCATTTCTCAGTTTCTACTTCTATAAGTGGGAATAACAGTATTTGTTGCATAAGACATTATAAAGTTAAATAATCAGTGTATGTAAAGCACTTTCAACAGCCTGGACTACAGGAACCATTTTATATGGGCTAGTTGCTGTCACTGTAGTTACTCCAGAAGTGCTTTTTAAAATGATCCGTATACTACACTCTCCCTCCATTTAACAAACTGGGGAATCGATGGTCCAGAGGAGGAAGAATGACCTTCCTGTATTAGTTTCTATTGTTGTATGTTGAGTCACCACAAAAGTAGCAGATTATAACACCTATTTACTGTTTCTGTGGATCCGAGCACAATGTACCTAGCTGTCTGCTCAGGGTCTCCCAAGGCTGCAATCAAAGTGCCAGCCAGGACTGTGGACTCCGGAAGCAGTCTTCGTCCATGTTCACATGACTGTTGGCAAAACTTGTTTCTTTGTAGCTATGGAATTCATCCACACCTTGCTTCTTGAAGGCCAACTGATTGAAACAGACCCATCCAAGATAATCTCCTTTTTTGCTAAATAAAAAAAGCAAGTGATTTGGGACGATAAATGCATCTGAATAATCTCTTCACCTTTGCTTCGTCCCATATAATTATACACTTACTGATATCCTATCATATTCACAGGACCTGCCCACACTCAAGGGGAGAGAATTATACATTATACTCGGCAAGGGTTGGAGGGTCTTGGGGACCATCTCAGAATTCCGCCTACTCCCCAAAATCATGTATCAAATTATTGACAGGGAGACAGTTGGCTTATAGGCCTTTGTGTCCCCTGTGCAGGAAACGGCCCACACGGGAATCAGTGCCTCTCAGAAGTGCTCAGAAGAGTGGCAGATCATTTACAAAACTGGCCCACTATTGTCCAGAACCCACTTAGCATTCCCTGTTCAATTCTCTGAAATAATACCGTACCAGACAATTAGCTCTGCAGATAAAGTAACTCTTGTCAAGTGTTGACCAGTAATGGGGCCATGGTCACCAATCTTTAAAATAGCTTCCAATGGGTTTTGCCTCCTGGTATTCCTGCTTTTGTGCAATTGGCTCTCACAATGACTAGGACTGATTTATGTGACCAGTAAGATATTACAGGAGCTGGGCATGGTGGAGCACACCTGTAATCCCAGCGCTCTGAGTGGCTGAGGCAGGATCTCAAATTCAAGCCCATACTGGGCAACTTAAAGTGTCTCAAAATAAAAATCAAAAAGGACTGGGGATGTAGCTCAGTACAAAGGCCCTGCATTCAATATCCAGTACCACCACGGGAAAAATAAGTATTTGGGGGGGTACTGGGGGTCGAACTCGGGTCCTCATGCTTAGCAAGGCAGGCGGCAGAACCACTGAACTAAATCCCCAGCCCCAAAAAGACAGTATTGAAAGGAGAACGTATGACTTCCAACGCTAAAAAAGTCCTAAAAGGCACTGCTGCTTCCACCTGGTCCTTTTGGATCAATGACTCCAGGAGAAGCCAGCTGATGTGTCACGAGGAGACAGCCCTATATAAATCCACAGGGCGCGGAACTGAGGCCCCCTGCCAACTTGCCAAGCTGCAAGACGTGAGTGCACCACCCTGGACATGGATCTCCAGCCCAGTCGGATTCAGGTGACTGCAGTCCTGGCCAACATCTGCACCACAACCTTGTGAGCCCCTCAGCCAGAACTATCCGGTTAAGCTGCTCCCGAATTTCTGACTCACAGAAACTATGTGGGAAAATATTTAATGTCACTCTAAGCCTTTGAGTTTGGGGATCATTTTATCCAGCAATAGATCCAGGAGACTTCTGGAACTTATACCTTATCCAAAAAATAGAACTGGTGAAGACCTAGATGTCCCCTACTGGGCACTGTGTGCCAGGCTCTGACCTTCCCTCCCTATGGGTGGCAGACCACAAGCTACCAGATTGAGGGAGCTGAAACCTAACACAGAAATCTCACCCCCCTTCTCAGGCCAGCCAATGCAGGCATTTCTGGGGCAGTATCCAGTCTAGTAGCCCCTGTAGCTATTGAGTACTGAGGTTAATGCAGCTAAGGATTTGAAATTTCATTTTTTAATTTAAATTTAAATATAGCCATAGTGGTTAGTAGCTACTACACTGGGCAGTGCAGATCTAACTGATGGACGAGAGGGCCTAGCTCAGGAAGTAACTGGAGTTACAGAGCCAGAGATCCATGCAAGCCTCAAAAGACTCAGAAAAACAAGAGTATGACAGGGACTCAGGAGAGAGCTCAGCTAACATAGGATCCGAGACCTAATTCACTGCTTGAGATGGGGTGGTGGCAGCTGAACAGCCCCCACTGAAGAGACCCTGGGCAACACTGATAGGCAGTGTAGTTATGAGCAGACTCCAGAGTCTGACTGACGGCCTGCATTCAAATCTTACCTCTGCCACTGTAAGCTCTATAGCTTCGGACAAGTGAGTTAAACTCTTCAATGCAATTTTCCCACCTGTATAAAATTGGAGCCTACCTGTGGAGCTGTGACGATTAACAGGTTCCAGTGTAAAGCATTGAAAATGGGCTCCTGGCACGTGAAACACATGACTGGAAGGTTTACTATGACTACTACCAACTCCCCTATCTGCCACCCCAGCAAAGCAATGGGCAACGCGGTGCCAAGGGAAAACCACCAACGCCCAAGGACCTAGAATTAAGGTTCAGCTGCACACCCAAGCTGAGAGCAGGTCAGTAACCCTTACTAACCCATAGTAGAAAGAATCTAGCTACCCCACAGGCCTGTTATGAGGAACTGAGAGCCTGTTGGTGCTATTTCTAGAGCCTCCCAACCATAGGCTAAGCAAGAAACATGAGTGAAAGAGACAGAAGCTGTGGTATGGCAAAGCAGATGTCCAGAAGGTGTCCCATCCCAGCGACACAGAATTACTGCTGTGCAAGCTGAGCTGCTAAATGGTGATTCCCCGCTGCCCCCAAGAAAACTAAAGAATCTGGATTTTTTTGTTTCCCCAGCATCAGGGATCAAACTGAGGACCTCGTGCTAGGCAGGCACTGAGCTAAATCCCCAGCCCCAAAAGTCACTGCTTTGATGCTGTAAATTGCTTTTCTTTCTTTTTTTTTTTTAAGGAATCAGGATTTTTATGAGAAGCATCCTGATGTCTACCGACAGCAATGTAAGTGTTTTTATTAAACACGGTGCTGCCGACACAAAATGCCGAGGCAAGTGCGCTATGGCACCCAGGCCCGCCGGGTGTTCTGACCTCTCCCTCCCTCTCGCTGCTTCCCTGCCTCTTTCATGTCTGCTTCTGTGCCCACGACCCCCTCCACTTGGAGAGATTTTTCTCATGCTTCCCTGAGTTCAAGGGGTACAGAGTCCAGAAAGAATGACTTGTTACAAGCTTTAAAATGACAAGACGCAAACAATTTAGAAAGTACCAGGTTTTATTATCTTTTTATCAAAAAAAAAAAAATCAGTAACAGACAACAGTGTGAGAGGCAGCTGCAGAAAAAGTGCTTACTTCAACACAGCCTGAGGAAAAGGCCACTGCACCGGCGCTAGAAGTGGACCCAGCCAGCTGGGCACCTGGGTTGGGGCGGAGTTGGGAGCTCACAGCCACTGGGTAGAGCAAGGGAGAGTGACTCCCTTCACCGTAACCACTGGGTCAGAACACCCAGCCTACCCCAGCTAAGCCACCCCTCTCCTCTCTGAAGAGTCCCCGATAACAGGCCCAGCTGGAGCCTCATCAGCCCCCCATCCCTGCCTTCTACCTTGCTCAGAAAAACAAAAGTATAACAGGGACTCAGGAGACAGCTCAGCTAACATAGGATCTGAGACCTAATTCGCTGCATGAGAGGGGGCTGTGGCAGCTGTGCTCAAGGTGACAGAGGTCATCCCAGCCAAGCTGAGCTGTAACTTGCTAAGCCATTTAGTTCTCTATCGCATTGAGGAACAAATTTCTAACTTTGTGTGATCTGAACCGACCCAACTGAAACAGCCACACGTGGTTACTGTCCTGGACAGCACACCCAAGAGCACAAGAAGGCAAACTCTAGGACAGCGATAGCCAGCCTTTTAGCGCTTTCAATGAGGACAACAGACAGTCTTTGTCTCCACTGCCCTAGGACCCCAGCCAGGCCCCAAGCAGAAGGCAGAAAGAGGGTTAAAATCATCTGCCTTCAACTGTTCCAGCCCAATCAGAAGGCACCAGGAACTGGGCAAGGAAAAAAAAAAAGGTAAGACCCTACCCAGCCACACGGAAATTCACTCACTCAGCCACTCAGCCAACATGAAACTGGAAATATTATACTATATCCTGAAAAAATATATTTATCTATTTTTCTAGAACCAAGAGATAATAATAATATATTACAAGAATACAGACACAAATACCCCACCATCCTCTACATGATATCTTGAGATGTGCTACAAAACTATGTTTCAGCAAAAGCTACTTTCAGATGAATCATCTTCAGAAAGGGCCGAGGTCATGAGCAGGGGAGAGCAAAGTATTTTTTAAATGGGAAAAGGGTTGAGAGAGAGAGAGAGAGAGAGAGAGAGAGAGAGAGAGAGAGAGAGAGGA